GGAGTTTCCTTTCCTACATTGAAGCTTATCCAATTAAGCAAAACTCAAATATTGTTGTGCACCAAAGGCAACCTAAAAACCAATTGCATAATGTCGATAATTTCATTATTTATTTATTATTGGCTTAATTAAGAACGCATCTAGGGTTAGGGTTAGTGTTAGGGTTAGGGTTAGTTTTAGGGTAAGGGTTGGGGTTTAGGGTTAGGGATAGTGTTAGGGTTTAGTGTTAAGGTTTAGGGTTAGGGTTTAGGGCTATGGCTTGTGTTATGGGCTAGTTTTTGGGGTTAATATTTTGTGTTTTATAATTGGTTAACGGGTTGCATACATTGCTCTGTAATGTTCTTATTCTTATTTAACGCATTTATATTGTATCAAATAAGAGGAGAATCTCTTTATTTCTACTTATAACTTTTCGCGATAATGCCAAATATAATATTTTCCTGGATTTCGTAGGCTTTCTTACCAGCGTAAAGGCAACCAATCAGCGCACGGTATTTTACTCAACAAGTAGACAAATAGCCCTTCTCGTCAGGACGCATTGTGTCACAGTCTCGAGACGGGGTAGGCCGCGTGAGAATGCATTCTGCTGCTGATACTTTGGTCCCTGAACACTTCCCCTTTCTTAATACTGATTGGTTGCTTAAATATTTGGTCACCTAGCCTCCCTTATATTATTGTATTTGAGTGATTATGAATATGCGAGAATTCCCATTGAAAATTTAAGAAGATAAATTGGTGAACATACGTTTATTTTCGATAAATTCTCGTCAGGCCTTTACACACGGCGGATCACTGGCCTTGGACGAGCAGAGACGAGCAGGTTCCGAATCCAACCACGCACACCTTATCTTCTGTCTTGGAAGCCGGTCCGTCTACGCAGTGACATCCTGACCGCAACTCTCCCAACCCTCCCCCACTTCCTTCCCCCCCCTCCCCACCGACCCTGACAACAATAACACTACATCTGTCCACAAACCAATATAGTTTAGTTATTTCATTACCATATAAATGTAAAGGCCTGACAAGAATTTATCGAAACAAACGTATGTTCGCCAATTTATCTCCTGATTATGAATAAGTAAAAACGTTCATTCGCCTAACTGGATTTCCTGAGAGACATATTTATTAATTGGGCGGAACTTCCTAATATTGTA